AACAATTAGGATATAATTTTGTATAAATATTAAAAAAGCAGCATTTACAACATGGAATCAATCGAATTTTCTTAGACATTTTATCAGCCTTTACAAGAGCCTCCTCCCGCCTCCATTCTATGCTCGGGAAAAAAGCAAATTAACTGAACTTATAATCAAAACCTAAACACAAATTTGTGTTCTCTTTTTCCTTTCTCTTGTCACTATATTATAGGTAGCTCACTGATCTTCTTTACCTTTTCCTACGCCTCTTCATTTTTCCCACTTGGTTCTATTTCTTCTTTTTGTTTTCTTGTCTCTGCCTTCTCTCCTTTCTTTAATTTCCTCTCTATTTTCATTCCATTTTCTCTTTTCTTATTTTCAAGCTTTCCACTTCTCTCTCATTTTCTCGCTTATCTATACTCTAAATTTGATCATCTCGTTTCTTTGTTCTCTCGATCATTTTTCTTCCTCTCTTCTCATTTCTCTTATCTTTATCTTTCTTTCGCTCCTCTGCTGTATGTTTTTTCGTGCCTCTTCTCTCTCTTCTCTATTGTCTTAAGTTTTATTTTTGTCTCTTCTCTCACTTACTCTTACTCTTACTCTATATTGAATTCTCTCTTCTATCATCTCTCTTCTCATTTCTCTCATCTCTATTTTTTATTCCCTCGTCTCTATTTTCTCCTATCTTTTACTTTATGTGGCTTCACTGCCCTCCCCCTCCCCCTCTCTTCTCTTTCCTATCTTCTGTCTTCTCATAGCCGAGATTAGCTGTCAGAGGGAAACGCTAAAAAAGTCAGTCAGCGGTTGAAATGTTTTAACACGAATAACTAACATCATTTGTCACTCACTAAAGAAAAGAAAAATCTCCGACAGTATCAACAAATCACTCAACGAGCGGCTCCTACTCACTTGTCCACTTGGAGAAAGGACATGGGAAGGAACACGGAATTGGACATGCGGATGCAACGCCAAGCGGAATCAGAAACAGATAAGTTAAAAGTAACTTGGCCAAAGTTTCAAATCAAAAAGCAAACTTCGATTCGTGAAAGACGCAAAAATAAAACAAACAAAAATAAGAGGCGGACGGCAGCCACGGGTGGAAAAGTGTGCGGGATCACGCCCCAGAAATCAGCAGCTGAGACAAAGTTGCCAAAGTAGCGAGCAATGAAACCAACTCAAGGAACATACATATCTTTATATACGTATATATTTCCGTAAGTGTATCTGAAGTACGTATATTTATTGCGCGCTTTTTTTTTCTCTAGTTGCTGCACAAAAATTGTAACAAATGCATTTTCGATTAGCATTAAATCACGTCGCTTGTCTGACTTCATTTCCGATGTGAAATAAATATTTTACTTTGATTTATATGTAAGCGAGAATAGGGGTAATCTACCCGTGTCCTACCCCAACTCGGATACACCTGATCCGATAGCAAGTGGGCGAGTTACAGTTAGATGCAAGTCAAATGAGCCGTGTACGTGCTGTGGTTCCCTCTCTCGCCAGAAGGGGGCGCTGAGCATAGAGTGCAAGCGTAGCACATTGGGAAAAATACAGTAAAAGAAAAAAACTTAAACTTAAGCAAACGCAAGCAGTTTGATTTGCCGAGTCGATAAAAATAAAGCCACAGGATGACATCAATAATAATTGGGTCTTCCACACCAGCCAGACAAACATTTTCCTATTTAACGTTCAGCTTAAAATATTGGAAAACTATCCAAATTTAAGCGTAACTTTAAAAACAAAACAAAATTTTTAATACTCGCTTTAATTATATTATAATAATAAATAATAAATTGTCTACTAATAAAAAAAAAAACA